CTGTACATATACTGATGAAAAAAAGAAAGGCAACATTTTCTGGGATGAGAATACTATAGCTATAGCTTTTGTACTGTCACAAAAAGTTGTCAGTTTGTATTAAGCCCTCTGACCAACAATACAACTTGTGTAGTGAGGCGTTGCAACTTGCCAATCACATGAAAGCTCGTTAGGAGCACTTTTACCCAAAAAAGTCCAGGTGGAACAATGCCTGATCAGGTCACCTTTAAAAAGGCCTAATTCAAAGCTTAGGTCACTGCAAGAAAAAGGCCACACTTAGTCAATTTCCTGTGCATTCCATAATGCCTCCAATGTCACCAGAAGCAGGTTTCAGCAGACCGGCAGGACAGATGACCGTCCAAGATCCAGTCGCCCTCGAGTGACCACACCAGAGCAGGACCGACACATCAGACTGGTCCATCTGCGAGATTGTTTCAGATCTGCCACCCGTACTGCTGCTGAAACTGTCGGCAGACACAATGCCTGCATCAGTGACAGGACAGTGAGGCTCCATGCTGCTGGCCTTAGAGCAAGGCGACCTGTCAGAGGCCCTCTGCTCATACCTCCTAGACGTCACACCCGACTGATTTGGGCCAAACAGAGGCTGCAATGGACTCATCAGCAGTAGCATCAGGTCCTCTTCACGGATGAGTCACTCTTCAGCCTGTTCCACGCAGACGGGAGGGCCAGAGTGTGGAGGAGGAGGTGTTGCGTTCCTTTTTTCCATCAGTATATATAAGTAGTTGGAAAGGCTCACCTACTGTAGCTAAGAGAATGAAATCCTATCCAAATCTTGATAGGTGTCCCCCACCACCCACACCCCCAATACGAAGAGGCGTGAGCTGGGAAGTTTGCAACAAGGGGACTGAAGGACAGGCAGAGAGTGTCAGAGAGATACATGAAGGGAAGTGCAAGATGCAAGACTTATAGTATATTCGTAGGTGAGCTAAAGTGTGCAAAATTCTAAACATCCTTAAGTTTGGTGAAGCACAATGCATTGACTCCTGATTAGACCTTTTATCACCTCACCTCAGAGAGCAATAACTTCAGGACTGTTTCCAGTCCTGTCACTTTTATTGCCATCCGCTCGGTTGGCTCGTAGCACATTCACCAGGTGCACAGACTTCTCATTTAAATGTTGCAGGTTTGCCACTTTTGCATGAGGGTAGTAGTCTTGTATAGTTCTATCTGACCCGTAACTAGAAAAGCAGTTTCCTCAGACACATCCCCTGTCCATATCATTCAAGAGAATGGCGCACACCACAATAGGTGAGGAAAGCAAAAAGACAAGAGCTGAGCAAACCCCTGGGCTAGGAATGTGCAAGTAGTATGTAAACCCCTGACCTCCTGATAAATAGACCCAGACAGTGTTGAAGTATCCAAAGGGTTTTGTCTGTATTTCATTGAAAATCATCTTTTAGGTTAATGTAGCTGCTTTCATAACCATAATTACAGTGCGCTCTAACAAATCAATACCTCCCCATTTTGCACTTAAGTTACTGTGTCTGTGTCACTTGAAATAGCAAGAATACAAAAATTGGCGAGAATTCAAAAGCTTTCCCATTCTTTTCAGAAACTCCTTCCTGGAAACTCAAAACAGCTCCACTAAAATGCAGTTCGCCACCTGGCTGTTACATAAATAGGCAGGTTTCTCACAGATGAAAGGAAAGGATTTGTTAAACTCTCTGATGTTAGTTTAGCGGCTTAATGTATAATCTTACTGTATCTCATCAGCAGAGCTGTTCATGTCTTAGTTGTGAGAGTCTTGGCTACAAAATATTCCTTTTTACTTGTTCACAGACTGTATTTTATTCTGACCTGTCAGTTCATTACACTACAAATCACAAAAAGCTGAATATTAAATATACAGTATGTGAAACAAAAATCTTTTTTACAGAAGTAATGCACATCAGAAAACCAGGTGAAAAAGAACTTCTGAATAATGCTTATTTCTTAATTACAATAAGTGATTGTTCTGTGGTTCGGACTGGATGATAATGTTGATTGTGCTTTATGTTTCCTTGAGATAGGGTGATTCCCCTGTTATGTGATGCCAGAACTGCAATAAATTAAACTATTTATTGTGTGCGAACAATCATTCTGTTTGCGCCTTGTGCAAAATAAAAAGATGAAGCTACAGAACACAATGGAAAAAAAGTATTCTGCATACAGGTACAAACAGGGCCAGACACATCAATACAAACTTTTCAGGCAGTATTAGTGACAGATCCAAAATGAGTTTACTTTGTCATACTGACAGGAAATTCATGAAAAGGGCTGAATTCGTTGGGACATTAACAACAACGTCTACTTCAATGTTTAAAGGATTACATTTAATTAGAAAATAGTCTGCAATTGTTTTTAATTACTGTTCCTAAAATGTGAAATATCCTTTAAATAAAGTAAAGAGTTCTGTGTGAAATAAGGAAATTGAAAGCCCTAAGACAAGCAGTGTGCATACTCCGTGCACAGCTATTTCACGAGCCTGTACATTCCTGTCACAGTGGGAAAAAGCCCTGAGCATTTCATTTAAGGCTTGATTTATGGCCCTTTTGAAAGTTGTGTATTCTGCTATAGTATTCACTCCAATACTTCTTTTTCTCTTCTCATATACAGTATGCACCTTTCACAAACGATTTTGAAAGCGATTTTTAAAGTATGATAAAACCAATTTCTAGCCACAGCACAGCTGATAAACCTGCCATAACCATGTTTCTATAAGCACTTTTTAAAACTATATAGAAATGGATAAAAATCTCAGTAACTAGTAATTCCCATCTTAAACTTGATCAAATTACCCTTCTTACTGGGAACTTCTCTCACCTACACTTGTTCATTTAAAATTGCTTTTGTTGGGAAAAGAAAGATTTTCGTCATGTTCTAATGACACGAATTTAACCTCTAACCATAAGCGGTGCTTGTGTATCACACCTTTATAACCTCCTAGAAAGAAAAGAAGAAACAAGGCATTGAAAGTAACATTTAAAATCAAGCAGAAAAAAAATCCAATAATGCCAATAATGCCAAGGAATTTAAATGAAATTAAATCTATCTTATTGCCCACATAATATCTGCCTGGGGTGACAAAGACTAAAGGCAAATGTGATCACAGTCTGGTTTTGCTCGGTTTATGTCCCTTGGTGAAATGGAACATCAGGAATTTTGCCAGCTTGTTGCCTGATGGTTTTTTAAACTTCCAAAAGGGTGATGGGGACTGTATCTTCAGGGTTGATGTCTGATGTGAATGTCTGGGAAATAGCCATTCTTGTAAATCCTGGGAAATTGTTATCTGAATCATGGCATAAGGGAATGACAATTTTAAAGGGGATCTTAAATCCTTTCTTTATTGGGAAAAGGAGGTGGAGAGGGAGCAGGGAACTAGGTTTCATAACTCCCCTACCGTTTTAAAAGCTTGCTTTACACAAAGATTAGTGATTATCTGTTAATCCCTGTTGCAATGTTTATTGTGTGTGTTTCTCTGGCTCTGACCTTTCTCAAATTAAAAAAAAAACACACACAGGAGAAGATGCAGAAGAATCAGCATGCGTCAACAGTTTTCACGGTCAGAGTATCCGTTCCAGAAAAGAAAGCTTCAAACGGGATTCACATAATAAGGAAGAATAGAGGGGTCACTGTCATTGCAGTGGGCGTGCTATGAATGTTAATAGGGAGAAAAGGGTAGGCAGAGCCACAGAACAGTCCTGTGAATGAGAAAGGCATGAGATGCGTCACTGCTCCATCCCCATCAGACAAGTCTCTCCACCTCCATCTTCAGGAGAAGCTGGAGGTCTGACTGAGGAACAACAAAACAAAATGTACACATCAGCAGATAGAGACATGCAAAACTGATAGCAATCTGCCTGTGATTCTGTCTCTACAGGAACTGGCAGCTGGAATGAGCTAACCTTCCTCTTGCTCTTCTCTAAACCGGGACAAAATCATTTTGTATCAGCCTTTTGAAATTGCAGAAAACAAAATTGTAAACCTTACTATTAAATCCTTACTTATAATAGTAACAAGTTGCTAGTAAGGACTGTTTTTTTCAAAGGCTCCTCCTGGATTCTGTCTTATTTTCCTAGGATTGGGCAATGGCATTATTATCTGTAGGAAGATGATTAAATATCTGACACACAACCAGCAGGTCAGCACCTGCCAATGTGTGGGGAAGCCAGCACTGTAAAGAGGGAATTTGATGTACTCCAGGCCTTACATCGCTGGTGGGAGAAGAAACATTTACCAGAATGCTCTCCAGTTACACATAACCACAGATTTACCCTTAAACCTCAGACATTTACAAGAGTTTGAACATTTGTGGGGCCGGGTGCTTTCAATAAGATTTCTTTTTTCACAGCATATACATTTTCACAAACAAGTAAATCACAGATAAAGCATTACTCATATAACACAAGACAAATTTAGCTTGCTTCATTGCATGATCACAGTAACTACACATGCATTTGTATACAGTATGTGCCCATGTGTTTACTTTTTCCAGAAGTTTTGTATTTTCTTTTTTGTATTTTTGCCACTTCCACAACTTTCCTTGCCTGAAAAAACAAAACCCAAGTTCTTTAATGAGTGTAAACAAACTGTGTTCACCTTACAGAAACAGATTTTTTCCAATCCATCACTGTCAATTACTCATTTCTTTGTGTGTGATTATTTCTAGGCTGCCACTTACTCTTCTCAATGTTTATTTCTACCTCGAGCTGAATGTCTGACTCACGGCTTTGTCTGAGGAAGAACAGTAACGCTTGCCATTAAAAGAGAGACAAGGTGAGAAGGAGCAAGAGGGAAGAGAGGAATACCTTTAACCATTGTGTAGCGAAACTAAACACTATGGGGACAGTAAAAAAGAGAAGGGGTGGTTATTTAATGTCTGGACAAAAAATCAAATGAGTGCAGTGGTACGTATTACCTCATTATGATGGTGAATGTGAAGGCCGAACTGTCTGCTGACTGAGAACCTTCAGAGTGCAGTTGGGAGTGGTGAATCTTACCCTGCTGTCCTCCTGCATCTCCCAGTCCGCGCTGAAGGCCTGCAGTGTCTGTCCCTGGGAGCAGTTGGAGAACTGGAAAAGGCTGGAGAAGGTTCTCCTGTTCTCCTGCGTGTCCGGGAAAATGGCATCCTGAAAGTTCACCCCGTGAGGCAGGATGTTGTAGTTTTCGTCCATCCTGTTCAAATGTCAAATAAAAACAAGAAGCACGAGACTGGGGTGGTGACTAGGAGCAGTTTAATTCTGCTTCATTGCTCATTTGTGGCAGAGGCAGACCTTGAGGTAGTTCATCACAAACCAGCACCATGACAGCTAATCTGTCCCAGTAGAAATATACGGGCATTACCTTCAATATACCTGGTGTCAGGAGATATTGATAAGAGACCTAAGAATAGACCATGAAGTCCAATTAATTGGTAGATTAGTTTAGAATGGGTAATCTAAACTGATGATGATGAAATAAATAGTGCTGATGAAACAAACTGTATCTCAGGTGTGGTATAAAAAATTGGGGGCACTGATTAATCGACTTGTCAAGGATTGCTCAACTATGATTGTTCAGAGCTATGGACTTAAACTGCCATAAAATTAACTGATCAGTGGGATGCGATATATAGTATTGAATTATGTGAACACCAAAATTGCAATTCTAGTAACACCCGGAGACATAAGAGATTCTCAGATGCTTCTTGGATACATGAGAAGTTACACTAAAGCAAGAATTTTCCAGTTATTAATCACTGTACTGTACAGTATATCAATCATTTTTGTTACTATTTTTACAGGCATTATATAGTAGAGGTATAGAAGGAGTATAGACGATATAGCTATTACACTCAGAACACAAAGATTTTGAACATTGTGGATTCACTGTGGGTTCTCTGCATCTACAACCAAGTAATTTCCTTAATCAAAAAAGGCTCCAATCACTCTCAACAGTATCTAGTGCTGTCATCTATAAGGTGCACCACCACTTACTACCACCAGAGGTCACTGTGCTCAGACTGTATCGCATCAATCACATAATGGGTTTCTTTCAAACAACAGGACTGACACATTAAATTACCCTCAACTACACATTTAATCATGACAACCAAGGGGCCTTAGTATAATAATACCTTACATTTACATACCACTTTTCACCCAAAAGGTTGCCAAAGAGCTTTGAATATACTGTATCTATCACACACCCCAGTACTCATCTGATCAGGTACGTAAGGTCAGTGCGAGTCCTGAGTGGAACTGAAGATCTCACCTGAAGAACAGCACCTCCTACAGCAGTATCACTGGTGACCATACTGGGACTTTGGTTTGGAAAGTTGGGTCTATAGTGAAGTGTGTAGCCTACTAGTCCACCAATACAACTTTCTGCAGAAAGCTGCTTTTCCTTGGAGATCTCCCATCTCAATCCTGTCCAGGCCCAGCCTTAAATTAAAAGCCTTAGAAAGCGGCAACAGTCTTGTTTCTCATCCAACTACTAACATTTGTGTAACTGAGATGTAAGACAGAAATGATGAAACCTAGCAGATACAATTAGTGTACTTTTAATTGGGTAATTTCCATATCCAAGCCATAGCAGCTCAGCAGTCCAGAGTTCATCCTGGTTTCCATTGTGACAAGTGAACGATAGAGCCCATGAAGGAGACAACAAGAAAGGGAGAGAACTCCCCCCAGGATGGAACACAACCCCCCCCCCAGCAATGCTGTTTCCCAGCCATACAGCTGAGTGGACTGGAGCAACTGGGGGCAAGTACCCAATGGGACAACAGCAGAGTCTGTTGGGCAGACTTGAATCCTCAACCCAGTGGTTATGACACCAGAGACCAGAGACTTACCCATTATACTACACTGCCACCAGGTACCTTTAATTAACTGACTTATTTTACATGCTGACCTCCATTTCCTTCCTTGTGCTGGTAGACCAGAGGTGGTCCAACTTGGAAAAGGATTCATAATCCAAGTCATGTGCAACAGCACTGTCTCTACAGGAAGGAAAATTTTTAATGGTAGCGTTTGCTCTGCACAATATTTTTTAATTTCCAAAACAAAATAATCTGCGGGCCACCCAAGCTTCTGGCTAATGCTGCCTTGAAAAACGATGAGTTTTGTATGTGGAGGTCCTCAATTTGTCAACGGTGTTGATGCCAAACAACATACAGCGGAGTGACTTTTAATGTGGACTGTCTGTACATACTTGTTACGGCTGACATGACAAGAATAACAACAACCGACACATTAAGTTAGGTTCAGTTAGGCATAGGACGTTTTGGCCTAACCCACCTGGATGAAGGAAGCCAAGACCAACATACAGAGTACAGAGGTAAGTCTGGAGAGGAGGAGGGGTACAGATATACAAATCCAAGGAGAATTGGGGAATGCGGTCTTTATAGCGTAATGAGAAGTGAAGAAGGAATTGGTTATTGTCATTCCTCCCAAATGTCGACTCAAAACACCATTTGTGGATGATGTTTCTTAAAAAAAACATAATTGTGGAACAATGTTTTATTCTTTTTCATTTTTTTTTTTGTTATCAATGTTTTATTTTTGGGGTTTATAATAATAATCATGGCTTCAAAACATGCCTTTCAGAGTTCTGAAAATACAAATGCACAGCCAAAGGAAATCTTAAGTACCTAGCATAAAACTGATCACATTTCATCTCGGAGAACGCTGTTTCGAAACTCTCACTCCAGGATTTGGATATGTGTGACCAAAACTAATGTGCTGCAGAATTCAGATTTAAATCACATCATCGAAAAAACATTTCCTTCAACTGCAGCATTCAAGTTTACCTTCCCAACACGTGCAGTGCTGTTGCCTTGTGGTCTGTATACCATCATTGAGTAAGGAGGTCAGATGTGGTTGCGTGGATTCTTTTACAAATCAAAACCAAACAAAACTAAGGCCCAAATTTCGCTCCAGAATAGGAAAATCCAGACTGCTACAGAAAAAGAACTAGTCTGGTCTCCCTAATTACAGGTTGATTAACCAGAATTCTACCAACTAAGGCAAAACCAAAACAACTGGTGTCATGTTCTGCTTAATACCCTTATTTGGCCTCTCCCCCTAGGTTAATTAATGACATCATCACCAAGCGTTCTGGGAAATGTAGTGTTCTGAACCCAGATTACTTCTCCAAATACAAGTAAAACACAGAGTACTTATATTGAGCATTGACTGTCCGTGACCCTGCCTATTACAGCACCACGGTAAACACTGATTATTTTAAAAACAATGTCAGAGTCCCAGATTTCTTCTGGAAGGGAGTGTAGTTAGGAGTGTAAGCATGGTAGGTCCTATCCCCCATAATTTGTAGTTTTGTAATGAGAGTTTAGTAGTAAAACAGATAAATGATCAGACAAACACAGGGGAGCCAAAACTTTAAAAATCAACAGATTTTTTATCGCGCGCAGTTTCCAAGTCAGGAGTAATGTGATCACTTGACACTTTACAGAACAAAGGCTTGGTCAATGTTCTGGCTCCTGACCTTTAATCATGTCACACTTTGTTGAAGGTCATCTATTAATTGCCTACTTTTCCATTTCAGTTATCTAAGTCCTAAAGAACACGATTAGAAACAGTTTTATAACCATCAGGATCTATATTACTTTTACCTTCCAACTGTGAAAATTGGAACCTTTCTCTGCCGCCCATGGAAACCATCAGTGACCTGTGAACTCCTCCTGGGACTGCGACACCCGCCAGACAGAGATACTAAACAATGGCAGTAAAGCAACTGCTCAGATACAAACCATTCCTGGATTTTAGAATCAAAGAGTATTACAGTATATCCCATGTTTTGGGATAAAATCTAGTTCTGGGAGTTTTCAGTTCCAATATGGAATATTTCTGAGTCCCTTTCTGACAAAGACTAGGACTAATCAAAATTGGTGAAATATTGCCACAGTGTTTCAGTGACAGGCATAAGAACACAGAATGATATATTTGACCATTCTTAAAAAAAAAAAAGCAGCTGTTTCTCCAGAAAGCCAGGATAAAAAAAATAGCTTTTCCCCATTCCATCCACTGTGCAGACTCAACAAAGGGCCTTATTTGAACATTACTCACCAGGTAGAGACATTCAAGACAAGAGCCTAGTGGTTAGAAAAAAATAATTATCTTCAAAATCTAATTTCTCAAAATGATCAAATTCCTCCAGTACTTGCTGTTGAATAGATGTAAAGGCAGTGATTTATGTATACAAAATGAAGTTTATTCTATTTAATTTTGTAATATGCTTTGAATTGAAATGAAGGGTGAAAAGGACAGGTGATAAGGTTATACATGTACAGTAACTGTGGAATTCAGTATTCAATACAGTGGTACCCTGAGCCCCAGGGCTCTGATGATATACCGACACTACTCTCACCTACATATTCTTCCAAGTCATTTGGATCAGTCTTTTCCAAAGCACTTTTAAATGACTAATAAATCAAATAAAGTGAGCAGCCGAGTGAAAATAAACGAGGAACAACCGCATAGCTGATACAGAACAAAATGATATGGAACAAAAAAAGGTCCTGCTCCCCCTTTTAACATCTCCTGGAACCTTATTCTGGCCATTGCCTCAGCGTAGTGGATAATATCCAATTTTCTGAATGCCCGATTTATTGTACCTCATAAACACAGTTCCTGTACCAAAATGTTTAGGGACTGTGTGGGAATATCTGTGGCTTCACTGTTATATTTTCGGGAGCCAATAGCTTGTGAAATTTTGCATAAACCTGTTATGTAATATAAATCCTTCCTGTAAGCTTCAGCAGCCCTTCATATTTAGAATACAACCTAAAGCCAACACAGTTCTGAACTTAGTGTGAATTTTATTAATGAATATTTGGGAAACCTCGAGAACTACAGGACAGGGGGCATATTGACTGTGAATTTAATGCATCTGACTTTAACTAGTGGCAGCATATTCCCAATCCTGCTTAGACATAAACAATACTTTCCTACATTATCTTCATTAAACATTAGCCTTGTTTGTAATAACAAAGACACCAAAGATTATGGAGCAGTACAGACAAAAACTCATTAATTTGTCATTTTGTGGGAGAAACAAATACAGTGTTGCCAAAGAAAGGTCACATGGATAAGAGTCATTCATATACAGTAACGTGTAAACTAGTTTCAGGATGCTGAAATGGGGCAATAGTATTATTAGATTATAACAATTATGGACAGAGCCACTAAGGATACATTCAGGCTTAGCTAGATGGTTACATCTAATGTATTTCCATCCATTTTCTAGCTGCTTCATCCAATACAAAACCATGGGAGAACTGGAGTCTGACCCCACAAGCAGCAGGTACAAGGCAGGATACGCCATGGGTGGGACGCCAGTCCATCACAGTTCACACACAGACACAAATACACACACACTCTCAGCTAGTTTTCCCTCAACCCATTTAACCTACCAGTATGTCTTTGGACTGTGTGAGGAAACTGGAGCACCTGGAGGAAACTCATGCAAACTTGGGGAGGACATACAAACTCCATACAGAAGCACCCCAGGAATGCTAACCATTGAGCCACTGTGCATCTAATATAACAAATTAAAAGACAATAATATAAGGAATTTGTATGAAAAGCACCACATTCCACCGAAACCAGTCCAAACACAGAAATGGTGTTAAGCTATAAAACGTCTTAAGCAGGTTTTCAAATTTAGGAATGCGGGACTTCTGAATTGACAAGTTCCAACTGACTGAGTGGTTCGGTTATAAAAAAAAATTACAACAGAAAAAGTGTAGCACTGAAACTCTTTCCCGCATTCTTCAGATTCCAGAACGAGAAGCGTTTCACATACAGAACACACAGTGGAGCTGAACCTTGACAACGCTGTGTGGAATGAAAAGTAAAGCTCAGAGCACAGAAGAGAGGTGCAGCAGTGAAGGTGATTTTAAGACACAGAAAACAGGTTTTCACTACACAGTGTAAGTGCTCCTCCCACTCACTCACAGTGCAAATCCTGCAACTTCAAAATACCCAGTTGTCAGTTGTACAAATGCCTTTTTTTCCCCATCCAAGTCCCCAGCCTCCATATCTTGATGTTTCCTTCTTAATGTATGTTGTGAATTTCATGATATTCTCAAAATATCCACTTATTCGAAAACTCAAGAGATCTACCTAATTTGCCGGGGGGAAAAAAAACCTTTATACGATCCAGCTGGATGAGGATAAGCAAAGAAAAAAGTTTGTAGATGGGTTCTGCGTGGAACTTTATTCTGCAGAGAATTATGTACTGTATATTTTGTAATATTTCCAGATAAAATGTTTTTAATTTAAAATGAAATACATCTATATATATGCATGGAATTCAATTTGAAGTACAGCATGCCCTTAATTTGAACAACAGTAGATTGTCACATGTTGGTGGTGGGCCAGTAGGTGGCACTCTTCACCTGGATCAGAATTTACAAACCAATTGGCCAGTACAGCGGGCAGCACAGTGGCATAGTGGTTAGCATTGCTGCTTCCCCCAGCCCTGGAGCCCTGGGCCCATTCCCGGACCTGGGGTGCTATCTGTGTGGAGTTTGTATGTTCTCCCTGTGTTTGCATAGGTTTCCCCCAGTGCTCCAGTTGCCCCCCACAGTCCAAAGGCACACTGATAGGTTAACTGGCTCCTGGGAAAGCTGGCCCAGGCATGAGTGTGTACGTTTCTGTCTTTGTGTGTTTGTGTGTGTCCTTCCTTGTGCCTGTTGCTCACTGGGATAGGCTCCAGCTCTCCTGAGACCCTGTATTGGATAAATGACCCAGTTTGGTGACCAGGGACCCTCTGCTGTTGGAGGTTTTGCTCTTGAAAAGAGATGTTCTACCAAGGTAAGTGTTCTTAAAATGCATTTTTAATACTAAAACCACTACTAATAATAGTGGTTTTTAATAAAGTGAAATGCATTCATTTGCAGTATTCCTAGTGTGAAAAACCCATTAATTAAGTGCTTTATAATAATTCACACGGTTTACCTTGACTGCTCAACATTTCAATTTGAACTAATCATTCTGACTGGACAAAACCGTCGCACTCACCTCAGGAAGAAGATGTAGGAGTAATTCTGGACGACAGTGTGGGACTGGCAGGAAAAGTAGCCCAGGCCCGTGAGATTGAGCCTCGACCCAGCAGGTACTTCCAACATGCTGCCCCAGGCTTGGTCACAGAGCAGCTCTATCTCCGCTGAGTAGAACAGTCCCCCTTCCGTGCCCTCGTACTGATAAGGCAGGTAATTATACATGCTGTACGCTTCCTGATGGATCGCCAGGACCTTAGCGTAGACTATGATTTCTACGAGCTCCGCTCTGCATCCCTCGCTAAGTGGTCTCCAATCCGAGGGCAGCTGACATCCCGAACTGAACTTTATTTCACATGCTAGAAAGCCCATTGATATTAAAAACACCAGGAGCATCTTGCAGTTGAACTCAGTCTTGATACCTCAGAAGAAAGGACGGTTCTCTCAAAGAGCGAGGTTTGATTTCCGATGTGGACGCTATAGCAATCAAATATAATTGGGGTAGGGAGAAAAAATATTGAATGACCTGTGCAATACGTGAAAAACTCTTTCAACTTACGTGAATTGGGCCAGTTTGTTAAAAAAAAAATACTCCAGTTCGGATGGCGGAGCAGACATTTGAAATTTCCTGAAATTAATTTCAGTTTGCTACTCACTCACTCCGTTTTTTCAAGTCCCACCCTTCATTTGTTGCTCACCCGTGCCAATCAGTCCGAAATCTTTACATTTTCCAGACTTACATGTAAACGCAACCAAAGAAACGTTTTGTTAAGCAAATGTTTGGTCTTAGAATTCTGCTTTACTTGGATGAAAAGTTATAAACCAGCAAAATCGCCGAGATTTCAGCAACACACAGCCTGTTATTTGCTCACTGTTGTTAAATAAAGCCTGCTGAAGACAGTTTTGCAGTCCCGTCCCTTGTCAGAACTTGTCGATCGGTGCGCAGCTTTGGAGACGAAGGCTTCTGTATGGGAGATGCGCACGGTCGCATTGAGACATTCCTAAACCCATTTCCAAGTTTTCAGGGAGACGAAACCGGCAAGGTTGTTTTGGAAAAGCCAATGAGAGGGAACCTTAAATTTGGGCCAGCCAATAGCCGCATCCTGTTAGAGGTTCATCTGTCCTTCAAGAAATCGAAATATCTTTTAGATTACAGAATTGCAGATAACACATCTCCTATAATCAAATAATAAAACACAATGACAGAAACTTTAAAAAGCTCAGTGTTTCTCTTATATGATGCCACAGGGAGAAAAAAAAGTTTTGCTATACCTAATTTTGAATTTGTATGTCAAACAGTGATTGAAAAACATTCCACCTTGCCAGACGTCACAACTGTTTCGTCATTTTTGTAGAAAGGAGACGTTAATGTGTTTAACATAACTGAAATAATAATAATTATCCGTACAATGGATGTAATCTGTCATGCGTCTGAGTCACCACAATAAGAGTTATATCTCTTGAGGAGCCTTAATGTTCTCATACACTACAGCAGCACTCAAAGAGAATTCTTGAATGGATTTGAACGGCAAATTACATTCACTCCCTGTGGTACATTATTGGCCAACACTGAAATTCCCTTCGCGTTCATTCATTTTGATGGGAAATGAACCTGTTAATTACTCATTGCTAATTGGAAAGAGACTGAACCTCACAGTCTCTTTGTCTTGTTGAATAGCTCTAGTTCAGCGCGATGTCCTACGAAAACAAAGACTTCTTTGATAATCTTTGGGATCCGCAAGCATCCAGCGACGAAGGCTTTTTCAGCATGCCGACTACTGCTGGCGAACGTCTCCTTGTTGATTTTGTGGTGCAACAGTGCCACCTGCTGGCGTGGACTGCCCCTTGCAATACAATAATGTGTTGGCTGTACAACACGGCATTGCAAATTGACCAGGCCTCTAGCCTGCATCTTGTATTGTAGATTACATATAAGTATATATGTGAATGTACTGCATATTCTCAATACAAGAACATAAAATCACCGCAACGTAAACGCACATTTCTACAGCTGTCAGCGTCGACAGCTGTTAAAAACCCAGTAATATCTATATATATGTTGTGAGTCATTTACTGTACATGGGCTGAGGAACATCCCGTATGAAACCAAGGGGTAATGCGTCAAGGGTTAATCGTGGGCGCGGACAGGAGGGGAAGTCCCTCGACGTAACGCGGCGTGCTCGGGGGTTTTCAGGGACTGACGTCACCGCGGCTGTCAGCTGAGCGAGGAGGAGTTCTGCCCGGGCCAGCGCTCTGCCCGTGAAGAGCAGGAAGCGCACAGCTGTGTTTGCAGCACGGGGAAGTAAAACTTGCATGTCACCATCCTACTTGTTTTCGAGCGTGTGCGTTTTAAAGTACACCTTTTCCAGCGATACAGAAGCGTTTTTTTGAAAACTCTGCGTCATTACCGAGTACCTTTTCAAACACCCAGAATGCACTGGAGAGCAATTAAGTAGCGACGTTGTTGTGTGAGTATCTAAGCTTTTTATTAAATGCCCACTGTTTATTTGGTTTTATTATTATCATGGTCCTATGAATACATTTCATGCCTATATACAGGCTACAAATCTGTTTCATGTATGTTGTTGTTTACCACGTTTCGCTAACTAATGAAAGTGAAAGTTGAAAGTCAACAAAGCAGGACTAGGTAAAGTAATTAACAGACTCATTTCGTATTTTTACTAGTCTTTGGTGTTAATATGATATATTATTAATAACGGCTTCAGTAGTATTCGTGTGGTTTAGTAGGTCTTGTAAATATATTGTCTTTTTCCATATGAAGTGGCGTAATCTGTGATTCGTAGTTTTAGCTGCCTGTCATTTGTCATGAACGACACAGAATCAACATGTTTTTTAAAACCGCAATAATGTAAGGCCCTCGTTAAAGAGTGTATGTTATTGACACATACCGTATAATAAGGCATTCGCAACACCGCTGTTTAGGAAAAGAGGTTTCTCTTACTTGATTATAGACGATGTACTGTATATGCAGATTCGGTCATCTTTTTATAATCAGGTATTACTGCTGAGCCTCGTCTGACCTGCGAATTCAGAGGCGTTACCGACTACAGCATTGGTAAGGGAATGTGAAGTGCAGGAAGAAAATAAAACTTTATTTGTGTTTGTTGTTGTTTAAGCCCTTTCTCATTACATAGAATTGCAGCAATCCTTAGCTGTGTTATAACAATTTGATAATAGTACAGTATACGTAGCTCAATTTCAGAGCATTTGTGTGAGGTTAACTTAAATTATTTTACAGCAGGGTTACACATGAGAGTTGGCCCATTTAGCCTGTTTGGTAGTTAGTTGCTAATTGATCCAAGGCTCTAATCCAGCCATTTCTTTAATGAAGCCTAAGTATTGGCTTCAGCCCTACGGCAAGGTGCTTGTTCTGTTCTTCCACAAGGTAAAGAAGTGCCTCCTGTTCCTGTTTTTTAATGCACATCCACATACAGTAAACCTGAGTCCTTCGATTTGTGTTTCGCTTTTCATTTTGGTGAAAACTACAGGGTTGACTTTGTCAGTTGCCTTCGAGGCCCCTCGTGGCTCTGTCTGTCCGAGACTTTTTCGCTGTTGACTACCTTCTGCCTTCTTCGCTCAGAATCATAGACCAGCACAGCAATGGCTTCCGGCGCGCCGATGGTAAATGGGGAAGATCCGCAGGGTCCGGAGAGATCTCGCCAAGGGCAGGCAAATGGGGCTCAGGCCGCCCCCCATGTTGGCACCCCAGAGGAGACCCTGCAGCAGATGAACATCCTCATCAAAGAGAACAGTGAGCTGAAAGGCAAGGAACGCAGGGTTTTCTTGAGTGCTGCTGTTTCCTGGGAAGTAACAATGTAGTTTTTGTAGTTTGTGGTATGTAAGAAGGTCTTTACTTGAACAGATGGGACTCCATACAATTTCATAAATAGTGCACATGGTTAGCATTCCTGTCTCACAGCTCTGGGGCCCTGCGTTCAATTCCTGGGGTGCTATCTGCATGGAGCTGGTATGACTGTGTTCATGTGGGTTTTCTCCGAGAGCTGCAGTTTCCTCCCCCAGTCCAAAGACACACTGGTAGCTTAACTGGCTTCAGGGAAAATTGCAAAGGAACAAGTGTTTGGTTTATTCCATACTGAAAAGAGAAGAAAAGAAACACAACGTTTCGGATGTGGAGCCTTCTTCGAATGTTGACACCCAGCTGAAACGTTGCGTTTCTTTTGGAATAAACCTTGACTTGTTACTTTGCAGCCTGCGCATGCTGACGCAGCTGCCTACTTGAGCTACTTCTGGGAAAGTTGGCCTACTGTGAGTGTGTCTGTGTGCGCCCTGCGATGGGCTGGTGTGCCGTCCAGGATGAACCCTGCCTTGCTCTTGTTGCTTGCTGAGCTCCCCCATGACCCTGTTTTGGATAAGCCGGTGAGAAGATGGATGGATAAATAGTGTTTTTTCTTATGTGCTGCAGAAGCCCTGAAACAAACTAATACGTCTATGAAAGAGCGTTTTGAGGGCCTTGCTGCATGGAAGGAAAAGCAGAAGGAGGAGCGTGAGTTTCTGGAGAACAAGTTTCTGGAGGCGAAGAATCGCGTGACTGCCCTTACCAAGCGCAATGAAGAGCTCAGGAAAAGATTACAGCATCTGGAAGGGAATGAAGAAGGGACTTGTCAGGTAAGAAATAGTTAAGCTACAGAGATCTAGAGAAGATAACATCTGAGACCAGAAATGGCACACTTTAACCAACAGGGATTTGCATACAAACAAATTATACACATTTGCAGAAAATGTATTTTGAGCACAGTTTCTGAACAATAGTGTGTAGGCTCTGGGATTGTGTTATCCTTTTAGTAAAAGGAGAGACAGTGGATTATTGTGTCTTGTCTGCTTTGATCAGCTCAACTAATAGTTAGATTCCCAAACCCCTGGTGTACAGCTTCTGAGAGTTCATGTTAGTTTCATACTTACAGGAATGTGTTCATTTTAAACCTTCACGAAAAGGAATATAAATATTCTGGTATATTTTCTGTAACATGAAAGGAATGTTTAATCTCTATAAGTTCTCTTCCCCTTTTGTCCCCAGCTATTGTATTCAGAACAAGCAGACCAGTGTAACCATAGATTAGGTTAAGATGGTAAAAGTTTAAATCAGAACTTTACTTTAAAACTATGTATTACACTGTACAAAAGCAGGATATGGACATGTAAAAACAAAATTAAACCAATAATAATAATAAACTTTTCTATTTTTAAAGTTGAATGACAACAACATCCCAAAAAACACACAAGAAATACACTCTGAAAATAGACAATGAGATGAGACAGTAAATGGGATATTGAATGCAGTAGGAGCTTAGGGGTACATTAACAGAACCGGTTAAGTAAAGACCCTTCTAGAGAAGAAGGTTTTGAGTCTAGCAAATAATATACTTTGTGCATTAAAACATCGAAGTTGCTACACTTTATACAGTATACTGTATGTGGTAGTGTTGACAGAATCACATGTTTTCTTTAATTTTTATTTTAAAGGAGATGCCATCATCTACCATGCCATCAGAGGTGGTCAATAAGGCAGTAAATATGCTGCAGTGCTTGGAGGACTTTTTATGCTCTTCTATTATCTGAACATTGCGCCACATAAAGAATGAAATTAATTTAGATCGAAGAGAAAGCATGGCATTTCTGTCTGGGTCATTATGTTTTTATTACCACATATAATAAAAAACAACAAAACCAGGGCTTCAGACTTCAATATTTCAGTTATTTAAGGACCAAAGATGCAAAATCCCCGAAAAACTGAGTATGTCCTCTGTCTGAATCTGTGAAAGTGATGGGGGCTTTGGGGAAATCTTACATTTCGAGCTGTGCCGAACCTTGTCGGCAGACTACCACAGCTGGTAGCTTTCCCAGTGTAACTGCAGTCTTGTTTTTCTGTGTGGTGTAGAGTGAGATGGGGGGCCAGAGCTCGGAGGTGGAAGCGCTGAAGGTCGTGATTGCACGGCTTCAGGCGGAGAAGAGCGACCTGCTGGCCATGAACTCAGAGCTTCAGCTGAAACTGGGGCGAGGGCTCCCTGATGATGCCTTCATTGAGATCAGAATTGCAGTAAGTTACCTGTACCATGAATAAACCTCAGAATGTTTAGTGACCGTATATGCCGATTGCTTTTAAAACGCACCATTAACACTGAATTCCAGTTCAGGCCTTTCCCATCTTGTAATTATGGTGAGTCTGGGTCAGGAAAATGATGAATGCATTCATTTTCTTTTAGAAGGAAGGAGACCTGAAACTAACTAAGGATTTGCCAAGCAGTGAAAAAGATCCATCTGCTGCATATATGTAAGTATTGGTATCTATTGTTGTGCCCCTTCTATGAACCACAAAAAAAAAATAATGTATGTTGAGCCAAATCTATAACTTCGGCACTGACGTTTTTCTTCATAAGCAGGCCTAAGTCTGATGAAACAAATGAACGAATGGAGCCTGAGGAGTTGACTGTCAGCCAGTTGCTTCAGTCCTTGCGACACGAGTCTCAGAAGGTGGAGAAGCTGGAGCTTGAGCTCCAAGCTTACAGAGAAAGGTACAGTATCCCACACTACTTACGATTACTCACTAAAATGAGCAATGCATACCTTCATACTGTATGCTGTACATACCTATACATAAATATACGTACCTATTCTTGTTAGATGAGTGAAGGTCACCCAATAATACAAGCTCCAAGTGTGTACCTCGTTCTGTTACTTTTATTTTTTGCTCCACTCTACTGTTGTATTAACTATCTCATCAGGAATTGTAGGAGTAATAGACTAGTTACAGTATGTTGTAGAACAATATTTTGAATGCATAATTTATAAAAATAATATTGAAACATGCATTTTAATATTTTGCACAATTGTATACAATATAAATGCATGGTATGGATATCACCAGACAGCTTGGTGCTCTCTTTTTGAACAGTTTTGGGTTTTATTCTGTTTTTGATTGCACAAAGGTTATTAACCATCATAATAACAAAACTGATTTCTGTAAGAGATTTTGAAATGTAGTGCTAGGTATTTTTTAAATAAAATTGTTATAAAACATAAAAAGGTGGTAAATTCTACTTTTATAAAAGTAGCTGTAACATACTGTACATCGGATAAGATCCTAAACTCAGTTAGTTTATGTTCAGTTATGATTACTTAGAACAAATCAGAGACTTTTTCCATATAGGATATCACCTACGAGCTGCTCTTATAGCAAGAGAGTACACAATTGGGTTGTATTTGAACAAAGATTAAGCTGTTGCTGCTTTATTACGTGCTGTGTTCTTAAAGAATACACTGTGGTAGTATTTTACAACATAATATGGGTTCCTCTGTTTTTAAAAGTATGACCTGCTGGGTATTGTTTAATATGTTATTTATTGCTCTGCAAATAACTGCAACCACAAGCCGGTTTCTAAAACACTGACTGGGCACCTTTGTTTTGTTTTGATGCAATAAAGGTCAGTATCATTTTTTTCACCAGGATATCGGTATTGGAGAAAAAGGCAGAAATGGTTGTAGAGAGTGCAACTCAGACATCACTGATAGTTGAAGGGAATATTCCTTCTGAGCCAGTGGGGATTGAAAGCACATCTAAATGTGAAGCTGATATCAAAGTTCAACAGAGTGTGTCAGCTATGCATGATACGGTAAGATAACAGATATTTATTACATCACATCTTCTGATGATTTAAAAATGTGTCGTGTATTTCTTCTATGCTTTTTGAGCTGAAATTGACATTTGAAATGATCACCTGCTCAATGCTGAAAACCACCTGAGCAAGATAAATAGCTCCTATTTAGATCACAACTGTCCTACAAAAGACAAAACCAGCTGCTGCACAACTCCTGGCTTCATAGGCATTGTGCTAAGTATGCATTTTTGCCCCAGCAGTTGTATCCATGCAAAGACAATTTTCCATGTCTAACTTTGGAGATGCCGCTTTGCTCTTCTTTTGGAATCCCGGCAATTATCAGCATCTCGCTAGGTGTGGCATCCAGGACTTGTTTTGAAAACGAAAGAGCCTGAGCCTTTTGTGTGCCTTAAACCTCTGGGGGGTTTATGTTCTTTTCAGTCTACAACCGAGGTGGAGAATTTGAAGTCCCAGATGAAGTCCTTGTTTAAAGAGCTACAGCAGGCCCAGTCCAAACTGGATGATGCTGAAGATATGAAGAGAAACCTGCACAACAAGTGAGAATGAGCAGGAGGATCAGCTTTAGCAGTAGTGCCATGTGTTTGTAAATGTGACTAACGCAGAGCATCAAAAACCCCTTTGATATAGAAATAGAAACTGCACACATTTTCTCGGCTGGTGCTCTAAAACCTTAATATTTCCGAAGGGTAAATACGATCAATTCTAGGGAGCTGTGATGATTTGCTTAAGATCTTTTTTAAATAGGTAAATGTTTTGATTTATGACTGTGGCTGGTGGAGCTGTTTGTAGAGAGCTCTTCCGTTCCAGCTTGATCTCCTGCATCTCCACTTCATACGTGTTTTGTAGATGTCGTGAAATCGAGCAGGATCTTTCTACTCTCCGCGCGCAGTTGGTGGACAAGCAGAAAGTTCAGAATGAGAGCGACAAGCTGAAACTTCAGCTGGAAAGCATGCAGTCTGTTGGTAAAATGGAACAGAGGAAGATGGAGGAGGAAAAGTAAGTGGCCCCCTTTAAATTTAAACTCGCATTCCATGGACTTTATTATAGTGCATCCTCTCCTATTGGGGAAAAAATAAATATCCTAATAGTTGTATAAATAACACTGTGTTTGAAAAGGTGTTCAGCTGTGTAGATCAAGTTGTGCTACAAGGGAGACTTAATTGATTTAAACTTCATCAACTCAGTTAAGCTTTTTCGGTCTTTGGCCCATTGCTCTAATGTTTCTTCAGTTTTAAGAAGAGCTTTAGTAAAACTGTCTTGTAGCTGTTCCTGATACGTTATATTGATATAGGTTTCTTTGTACATTTAGCATTTATTCCTAGAAAAATCATCAGAGAATCCTCAAAGGATTAAGTTTGCAAGAGTATCAAATTTTTTTTTCTTTTCAATCAAATGCTTCTAAGGTTGTCCTGTATGCATAGTGGAAGGGAAGTTCAGTAAGTTTAGGGTTGTCAATCCTGGTCCTGAAAGGACCACATACTGCACCTGCTTGTTTTTATTTCGGCCAATTTCTGAGTTACACAGTTGAAATCTTAATTGACTTCCTAATATAATTAATTTATTGTGTGACTGTTTTCTGCCCTTGCAGTTGTTGAAGGATGCCTAATAGCTATTGCATTTCTTCAGTAAAACAATATCCCACACTTCTGAGTAGAATAATTTGACAGTATGCCAATCAAGATATTTTTTTCCGCACCATTAAGGTATGAGTCAGGTAATTAACCTCCTCTGGTATGAACAGCAGCAGGTGTGTGAGTGTCCAGGACCAGAATTGGAATCCCCTGCACTAAAAAGACAGGAAAGAGCGTTTCTTTTAAAGAGCAGCCATTTTTATTTGTGACATCTGCACCCAAGTATCACGGCAGTAAAAAAACACTGGTATTTTAAATGCAGCACATCTATACATGTGAAATGTATATTGATATAACTAATAAAATGTTCCCCTGACCCTAACCCTGTTCTCAAACAGGAGAAAAATGACTCAGCTGAAGGATGCCTACACAAAGCTTTTTGAAGATTATAATGAGATCAAGAAAGCAGCAGATGGAAACAAGAGGACAGAGGTGACAAGACCACATTGATTTCTCCTGTTACTGAAGGCAAACCAGTGATATCATTTGGTTAAAGGCTAGGGTCAAAAGAGACTTTTTTTCCCCCGTGAGTAGACAAAAAGAAAGGTGTATTTCACCTTGATTTCTGTTAACCTTTACTTCCACTGTTAGAACAGTTAACGTTCTTTTCATTTGACCTAAGAGTTACAGTTCTGGGGAGGAATATAAAGAACCCTCAAACTTCACGCAATGATTAGTATGTAAAATATTCTAAACAATGAAACGTGAAATGTGTCTTTGATTTTCTTTACTTCATTTTCACTTATGCTTTAGTCTTTTGACTCACTTGTCATAAGTTGTTAAATCAAATTTCTTTTTTTTTTGTTTTTGAAAGCCATACAGGCTGTTTTCTTAATACTTAAAAAACTGGAAGTTTTCTGGTGAACTTTGGATAATTACCGTTTTAACTTCTTTATCTGTCTGTCTGTGCAATGTCTCCTCCCAAAGGATGACGTGATCGAGCTGAACAAGAAACTCGCAGTGGCGGAGCAGGCTTTGGCTGCGAAGCAGCTGCAGATCGACGAAATGAAGCAGGACATTTTTAAAAAGGAACAGGAGCTGGATACCATTTCTGTGTTCAAAGCACAGGTAATGAACGACGCATACAGACAAGCTCCGAGACCGGAGAAGAGCTGGCCAAGTCTTCTCGTTTCCGGTGGCTAGTCCAGACGTTGTGCTGTCTCTGCAGGCCGAGGTGTACTCTTCTGATTTCTATGCTGAAAGAGCAGCGAGAGAGAAGATCCATGAGGAGAAGGAACGGCTAGCAGCACAATTGGAGTTTGTGAAAAAGCAAAACAGCCAGCTCCAAGAGGAGATGGAGTCTTTGGGAAGGTAACTCGCATCCAGGGTTTCTGTTTAAGTGCAGAAGTTGCTTAACTACTTTTAAGCAACCTTCCGAGGTGCTTCACCTTCGAACATGCCTCAGAAATGCTGAAGGTCATGTCAAGCAAGTATAAAATTGCCCCTGAAGACCTCAGAGTGGGAAAAATCTCACAGCTTTTAGAACTGGAGTGCAGTACCCATGTTTCAATGAAACCTTGTGTTTATCTGATAACTCCTGAAGAGGCAGAAAACAAGCCATAAATGGAAGGATGTATTACCATTGTTTTTTCTTCAGCGTTCCAAAGATCGAAGATACTTGTTTCAAGTCGTCAAAAACAACAGGCATTCATCTCCTCAGGCATTCATTTGAAAATGTGTGTTCTTAAGTATTTTTTATGAAATTGAAGCTGATTAAAATGCCTCTTGGTGTTGGGTTTTGTATAATTTTTATTGTGATTATGTTTTAATGAAGTGTTTGCATGGAACAGTTAAGTGCAGATTATCGACCAGAATGCTAATGTTTGAGGTGTGTGTTGCGTATAGTACACATTAATGTGCATGATTGCATTACAGACAGTCTCTGAATGAAATGCAGCGTCGCCACGTGCCCAGGGGCATGAACCCCCACGGAAATCCTCCACAGCAGAACGCACCAGGAGCAAGAGGCAAGTGCAGCAGTTCCTTGTCATGCAGCGTTTTTGTTTTTTAGTCCACCGAAATAACAAGGTCTAATCAATGACAAGCTGTCATTCAACACTCTTTCATATTTACAGTTCATGCTGGGGAATTTTTAAATGTGAGCTCAGAAAGTTCTGAAGTATAAGAGTATTAAACCACTGTACGTCGCTTCTTTATGGAGTAGTAATAATACTAATGTACCAGAATGATATATTAGTGAGTCTGTAGACTGTTTTTTCTGAATCCCAGAACTTCTCCCCACTCTTTCACACTGATCCTTAATAGGGAAAATTGATTCATGATCCACTGATCCACAGTCCAGTGCACTTTCCAAGAACACCCCCCCAAAATATACTGGGGTATGACTTTAAATGAATAAAAGCATAAATGCCTTTTCATTTAATTTCAGAAAAAGACCCATATTTAATGATTATTTGATCGTTCATATTGTGTCTTCCAGTCGTTGGTTAACTTTTCTAACTGAATAATGTGAACATTTATGTTAAATTATTGTTAAAAAACAAATAAGTGAAAGAAATTGCTTTTCCCTGAAAAGCAGAAAGGAAGTTCTTTATGCAGGCCCATGATTTCAGGTTTAATTTTATCTACTACTAATCAAAAAAGATTGCCGAAATAGTCATTAATTCAAATTGGATTTTATATGAAGGAGCAGTTTTCCGTAGATCTCAGAACTGGAGTATCCTGATAAATAATACAAGGGAAAAGTGGTGCACTCATCAGAGTGGCACATATTTTAGCTCTTAGTAAACCCACCCGAAATTATAGATTAATTTTTAGGAATCTCTGAAAAAGGTTACTTCAAGCTTCTTCCTGCAAGTTTTATTTTGTCCAATGAAGCTATGGATAATGGCTGCTTAGGCAGTTTCCCACCCTTTACACTTGTAAGTTTTATTTATTTTTAGATTGTCTGTTTTTCAGGAAGCTGAAAATTACTGAATAAAAAGATGCAATATCCAGGGTGCAATGACAGAAATGATCATTATAACCATGGATGGATGGATGTTCCCCCGTTATGCCTTCCAGCACTTCGGGGCAGAAGCTTCCTGTTGCTGTTACTGTAACATTTGTTTTTTACAGGACAGGGTTGTACCCAACATGGAAGACGTGGCACCCAACGTGGGACACGAACCCACTACCCTGAGCTTATAAGTCTCATGATCTTCCAACAGAGCTAGCCAGGACGCTAATTATAACCATATTGCCATTAATTAAACCTAAAGTGTTATGCTTAAATGGATGTTGTGAGCAGGGGTCCTCTGTAATGCCTGTCCTCTCTGTTCCCTGAGCAGGTGCAGATAACAGAGACTGGCAGCAGCAGGTGAATATCCCGGAGCATGCGTGTCCAAAATGCAATGAAATCCTGCCAGACCTCGACAGTCTCCAGATCCACATCATGGACTGCATCATATAAGCGTGTTGCAAAGAACAATTGCTTGCTATGTAACTGCTCTGCACCTACCCATTTGAATGCATATGTCTCAGTAAATACAGTTTGTATACCTCATATGAGCACACCACCTAAAAGAATCTGTATCTGCAGTGCATCTTCGGGTTATGCAAAGTTTGCTGTTGATTAGAAGAGCAAAATATGCAACTATAAAGACTTCAGTTTGAGCATATGCTTTATTAATAGCCATTACTGCAACATAAGAAGTTATAAATGGGGTGTAATGTGCTGTAATAATGTGAAGTATAATAGTAAGGAAATTATTTACCTATAAAATATGAATAACGCAACTAAATACAACATTGAAGTATCATTACTGGTGTCTTGCTGGAGAAAAGTTGTTCAAGCAAGCTATTCTTAGCAAAATTAGGTTGGTGTAAGGGTAAAACACTCTAATCAAAGGTATAGTTAAAGGAAAGAGCAGGCACTTTTTGATAAAGAAATTACTCTCTCAGCACCTTGCCACTAAATAAAATGATTGCTCTGAATTAAAAACTTACTTTTATTGTAGGTTTTACTTTTATTTGTTGTTTTTTCATGAGCTTTCTTGGGTTTCTTTGAAGAAATACTGTACAAATCAATTATTTAAAATGTTACAAGATTGGTAAAAGATTAAAGCACTGGAAGTAAAGATTTGTGGAAATTTCTTCTAAATCTAATGTGACCCAATAATACAATTTAATAAAATTATACAAATATAAAATTGTTAAAATTATTACAGTATTTAAACTGTACTGGAATTATATTATTCAGATTTAGGAGGTTATTTTATTGTAAAAATATTTAAGGTGTTCTAATTGGGGGACAATACAATGGGTTATATTGTGTTTGCAATATTATGCAATGGTGAATCCTCTAATATACACTTTCCCTTTAAATTGGCTTAAAAAGTTGAATTCATAAAAAATAAATGCAGAAAATAAATGGACTGAAATAAATTGAAATGACTGAAATGGAGTTTATTAATTTTACTGTGTGGTAGGTAATGTGCTCTATATTAAAATATTTCTGCACAAATGAAAGGTATGCAAGTAAAGAAAAAAAGTTTTACTGAATACAACACAGAGTACAGTACTGTATTGTTCACTAGTGGGGGTTATAATTTTCTGATGGCTGACTGTAATGCACTTGTTTTGGTTTGTCTCTAATTTCTATCACAATAACTTAAATAGAATGTATAAATTTAAACTTGTTTCCTTTATCTTTAAAATTGTGTGGAGTGGTCTAAAATGGGGTGACACGGTGGCAAAGTGGTTGGCATTGCTGGGTTTGATTTCCTGGGGTGCTGTCTGTGTGGAGTTGGTATGCTCTCCCCGTGTTCATGTGGGTTTCCTCCAGGTGCTCTGGTTCCCTGCCACAGTCCAAAGACATGCTGGTAGGTTAATTGGCTTCTGGGAATGTTGGCCCTGGTGTGAGTGTGTTGGTGTCAGTTTGTGCCCTGTGATGGACTGGTTTCCATCCAGGGTGTGCCCTGCCTTGTACCTGTTGCTTGCTGGGATAGACACCATCTCCCCTCCTACCCTATACGGCATAAAGTGGTTAAAAAATGGATGACGTTTTATTGGCATTACCCCCTAATAAATGTCATGTATTCACAGAGTTGCAGGGGAGCCAGAGCCTATACCCTCAGGCAACGGACACACGTCCATCACAGGGCACTTAGAAACAGACATGCACACACTCACACCAGGGCCAGTTTTTGCATAGACACATTAACCTAATAGTATGTTTTGGACTGTGGGAGGAAACGGAAGCACCTGGTCTGGAATTGAACCCAGGGTCCCAGCACTGTAAGGCAGCAATGCTAACCACTGTGTTACCAAAGAAAGATACTTATTCTTCTGAATACAGTAAAATCTCAATCTTTAGTTCATCTTGAATTATCCAAACATCAAAGACTAGATAGGAAATTCACATTCATTAACAATTTTGCTAAGGAGAATGGTCACAATTCCACAATCCCTGCCCATAACAACTCACAGCAGTAATTACAGCTAAAGACACTTCCACAAAGTACTGACTTTGGGGGCTGAATAGTTATGCAGTCTTTAAATTTCACTTTGCATATCTTCATTGTAGGTTTTCCTGGCATTCGGACTCCTTCACATGGTCAGTTTCTTTAAAGGTTATGAATAGAAAATATTGATTTGAAAAACAATATCCAAAATAATATACACTAGATATATTATATAAAATTCATATATGATATACACAAATGTGATACTGGTAGGGAGTGAATACTTCTGCAGGGAGCTGTAAGTGTTCGTGGTTTGTCAGGGGCGACCAGCCATGGTGCTAGAGAACCACAATCCAGCACCTCATGTGCTGTGTATCACCCTTAAATCACCGACCTGTACAGAGTAGGAATATGTGTGGATTTAAATTGTGTCAGTCAATTGATTAAATTAACCTGGGAATTGCCAGATGTGGGCCTTCTGAGCCACAAGATGCTGTGTTTTGCGTTTGATCGCTAAGCTAGTTAATTGAATACTGTATTTCACCAGAAAAATGAAACTGTCCCAGCTGTTTAGAGAATGATGTTTGGAGGGTGATCCCTAAAACATGCTATACTGTGGGACTTCAGGAGGTTGGCCTCCCTTGGTATATACAGTAATAACACCTTATGGACATTCAGAAGGATCAACAACGTCCCCAGTAGGAATGAAAGCCGTGTCATTTTTATAGGCACCTGGCTGGTGGCCATCTATTCTGGGAAAAAAGAGGTCATCATCTCTGTGCAGAGACCACCAAGAATACAGTGGCTACAGGATGTCTACCCACCTTTTCCCAAGTAACACATTTTGTGCACAAAAGGCTGAAATCAAAATAAACCTGAGTCTGTTGTGTCTTTATTTACAAGTTGTAACACACAACTTCCAAGCGAAAAACAAATTCTCCAACATTGTGAAACTACTTACGGATGAAAACCCATGAAAAATGGGTTGGATACGTGCACACTTGAGTGTACTTGAGTTAGTACTTGGCAGAAGTGCCTTTTGCTTGAATTACAGCCGCAATTCGGTTTGGATAGGTCTGCACTAACATACTGTACCACACCTAGATTTGGCACGTTTGCCCATTCCTCTTTAAAGAACTGTTCAGGCACAGTCAAATAGAGAGAGGATTGTTGGTCAGCTGCAACTTTCAACTAATTCTACGGATTTTTAACTGGGCCACTCAAGGACGTTTACCCCCGTCAAAGTCCTATAGACACTGCATGTAACGTACCGTTACTAATAATTTGTTAACCTTGTTAAACCCAACTTTTTAAAACTCATCGTGGTGGTAACTTCCAGCAAAGTCATTCATCTGCTTTTAATGCTCTTTAAATAAATGATAGAAGAAGACGTGAGGTACATGCTATGACAACGGATACGAGTGTACTGTATGTTTACGTTGTACTGTAGACTTCAAACTAAAATTCAAGATATCTCCAGAATCAATTACTGCCGCAAAACGCTTGGACAGTGAGGAGCAGTTTCACCAATTTAATTTGTTGCTAAAGCAATTTATCTGAAAGAGACCGGACAAAAAAAGGTTTCGCGGTTCACACAACAAAAGACCACGCCGACAGAAACTAGACGGTCCGTATACAATAAACACCCATTCCCGCAGCACCGAAGCAACAACACAGAGCCCCGCACTGCTGGTTCTGGATTTAAAGACCTCACTTATGTTGCCTGCCTGCGCCTGGTTCAAATTAATTTTTGCTTCCACAAAAATGAAAGGCGTCAGGAAAAATGAGACTAGTACAACGAAAATAGACTTAACTTGCACCCAGAAATATATATGATTGAATGGTTTCTGTCATTTTCACTTTTTTTAAACACCGGCATTACATTGGTCACCTAAATATTTGCTGCGGTAGGGCCTGAGTTTGGCGCTAGATTTCAGTTCTTTTTGTATCCAGACAAGGAAAGACAACAAATCAGGTAAGAATAATATATCTATATATATATATTCTGAGATATTATTTGGTTTAGAGAGTGGCATTTCTGGATATTATTTGTGATCAAAGTAATATGCATAGTGTAATGTAAAGCATGGTTAATGGGGAAAACTGAAATTTGAGTTGTTTATGTACTAGTGAACTTAGTTACTGTAGTTTTACCTTGTTATTAGAAATACGCACGTCTACTGGACTTAACATTCAAAACTGGAAAATGTTTTTGTTTAATATTAATGATCTTCTCATAATGAATGCCAAGATGTCTATGGAGACGTTTAAAGATGTTACTTTAGCTCCCGTTTATTTTGTAGTTAAGTCATGGATCATGTTACTGTAAGTTGAATTGACGATTTTATAGAAAACGGCATTACGGTACATTTTGATCACAGTTTACATTAATTCTGGGTCTCGGTCAGAGGAGTAACGTCTTGAATAATGTTCCAGATTGACTGTGCGCATCACCACGGATAACAGGGCATTTAACCATGGAAGGTACGTCCGTTTTCTCACCAAGAGTTAATGTTTCTGTATGCAGGTAATTTACAAATGAAATAATTACCATATTGCAAGAAGTAAAAGGTTTCTGCATGCTTATGGATTGCTCAGGAGCCTTAAAGTTGTTGTTGTTGTTGTTGTTGTTTTAAGTCTTTGCTATCTAAGATTGAAGTTTTAATCGGTGAATGAGCATTTACAGTACAGTACTCTGTCACAAATGTCTTTTTTTTCTTGTCGGTATTAAGTATTTTATTTGTCTGGCCTGCACAACAGTCAACAGTACTCGGAGGTGTTTTATTAACCAGGAGCGCTAAACATTGGAAGTAGTCAGTTGTAGAGGTGAACATTTCGAAATGATGTTTTATCGCGTCGTAAACCGGGGGCACTGGTTTACGAAAAAATCATATTTGGCAGGAAAGCATTATGTTATACGTACAAATAAGGAAACACGTGTATTCTCGTAACGTATACATTATGCTGTTTACCGTCCGTGATTCTCAGCCTAGGACGTGGCTTAGTTTTTTTAAAATGTCAGATGTGCGCCCGGGTTTTGTACAACTACGATCAGTAGTTGAGATACAGATGTAGCTATGTGGCAGCGGCTGTCAGACTTTCTTCAGAGCAGATGAGAAGCAGATCTTCATACCTCAGAATCGGCGCCAAGTCGCTGGTTTGGCGACACGATCTGATTGGTATTCGAAATTGGGAAAATAAGAACTAGTTATCACCTAGTAACCTTTTTGTTTTTAAAGATGGCTATATACAGAACTTCAATTACATCTGTACTCTTACTAAGCCGTGATTTGTCGTGCTGTTCTATATCCTGCGACTTGTGTCTTAACAGCTGTAAACACCATAACTTACAGTCTCAGACTAGAAGGACATCGCATCTGAAGTGCAATAGAAAACACAAAAAGTACAATACCACGCAAGCTCATAATAGAGTACTTCTCAAATGTACCGTCATTTTGCCCAGCTCGCTATGCAGAGAGCTGTCGATGCCAGGAGATAATCAGTTTGAAAGGCAGAGTCAGAAAACAGCCCCACATGTTACTTCTGCTTTGCTGGGTTTGTTTTTTTCTGTGTCGCTTTTTGGGAAATGAAAGCCATAAAAGCCAACAGCTAAATCACCCTGTAGCTCTCAACTGGCTGCCCACTGAAGCTCAGCAGGGTTGAGCCTGGTCAGTACCTGGATGAGAGACCTCCTGGGAAGCTATGGTCGCTGCTGGAAGTGGTGTTAGTGGGACCAGCAGGGGGCGCCCACTCTGCGGTCTGTGTGGGTCCTAATGCCCCAGTATAATGGCAGGGACACTATACTGTAGTGGGCGCCATCTTTTGGATGAGACGTTAAACTGAGGTCCTGACTCTACATGGTCATTAAATATCCCCGAGCATTTCTCGACAAGAGTAGGGAGTTATCCTGGTGCCCAGGCCAAATTTCCCCCTTTGGCCTTTACCATGGCCTCAAAATTGTCCGCATGTATGACTGGCTTGCACTTGCCCTGTGATGGACTGGCGCCCCGTCCAGGGTGTACCCTGCCTTGCGTTCATTGCTTGCTGGGTAGGGTCCGGCTTCCCGCGACACTGTATGGTATAAAGTGGTTCAGCAAATGACATGACGTGACAAAGCCATAAAAAGGTGGTAAGGTGTTGAAAGTTCAGTACACGGCATTTTTTCTTTCCTGCGTAATATTTTCTTGTCCACGTGGTTTCCTTTTTTCTTTAAAAAAAACTTTGACAGCTGTCAAATCATTGAATAAGGCAGTGTTTACAGTAAGTCACTGTGTGGCCACAATCCTATGACAAATGTTTTTTTTCCACGTACTTTATCACATCTTTTCATAATGTTTCCAGTGTGTCTGAGCTCATGCAGCTCATAGATGCACCTGCTCAGATGCACCTGTGTATCACACTTTGTTCCAGAGGATTAATTACACGTATTACAAAAAGTAAAAAAAACAATTGAGCTGTTTTTTAAATTGCATTCCAATCATACCTGTGGTTGCACACAAGTTAGACCTCAATCTGTTTAATCAGATCAGCTGCTACAAAATTACTGGAAGTGTCATTTTTTTTTTCAAAATTCATCATCAGGGCTTAAAGCTTTTTTTGATCAGATCCTTTCGTCCCGCAGCCTGTGTCCGGACTATGAAATGCTCTGCATGAGCATATGATTCCCACCCGTCAGAAACTGCACAGACTCCCAGTGAAATTTAGAGTGGACTTTGTGTCCTGGACACATACAAGGCACTGAATAGTCTAGCTCCAGGTCATCTTAAGGGTTTATTGTGTGAGTGTAGTCCATCTCTTTATATGAGATCTGCTTACTCAGCCAAAGGCTTGGCTCTGGCTTCATACTGTGGGCGTTAACAGAGCTTTTGCAGAAGCAGTACCACATCTATGGAGCTCAGCACCAAACGTGTTTAGCAGATTTATCACTCTCAATGTTTTACAACTCATTTATAAAGACCTTTCTTCTGACTAAATGCTTCATTAGGTTCAGCACTTGGTTTTACAGAGTGTTGTGCTTTTTTGTGAATTCTCTTATTTATTTGAAGTGCTGTTGCACTGCTCTTTGTCTTACTTCAAAAATAGTCGTAGATGATAAAAAAGGGTTCATTTTCCTGTCAGATATGACATGACTCAGCATAGTAGGGGTGTCGGTGACTTTCCGTGATCACCATTGCTAAGCAAGTTCACTCTCAGTTGAATGCCCATCATGTGCACGAGGATGTTTATATCCAACAGCCTAGTTCTTTCATTATTTTGTTCTATCAGTCTATTTGTTCCATTATCTTTGATTTGATCAGAGTAGTTCATTCTTGATTCCTTTAAATCTGAAAGCTTGCAAGGCATGAGGCAGTAAAGCACTTTGAACAAGTCTGCCCTGCCTCCCCCCTCCGTCCTGCAGGAGAGGAAGACCTGGACCTGCTGGCCTCGCTGCTAGAGGAGAATGAGAAGGCAGAACAGGGGGGCCTGCAGCCGCAGGAGGGGGAGGGGGATGACCTGGAGGACCTGTTCGATAATGAAGACGGAGAAGAGTATAACGAGGGGTCCGAGGAGGAAGAGGACAGGGCCGCCAGGGAGCAGGAGGATGGTGTAACTGCATTGTTTGGAGATGTGGCTGATTTAGAGGAAGAGGAGCCAACCGGGAAACAGTTCAGAGAAGCACAAGCTGAGGAAACGCAAGACAAATCCAAACAGGACTTGGAAGGTATGTAGGTTAAACAAGTCCATATAGGTTGCAAATAATGTAATGTTGGATTACCCTTGATTTCAAAGACTCTGTAAAACAATAATTAGTGCATATAGCCCCTTTTACTTTCCATAGCTGTTTCTAAAAGTTCATTACATACTATTTCATGGTAGTGGCATCTGTTATCCCTGCCGTTAATGCCCAGTGGTTGGTCATTTGCAGCGGAGCTGAGAAAAATGCAGGAGCAAATGAAGAAATTACAGCAGCAGCTGGAAGCCACACAGAAGACCATCACAAGCCCTCCTCACAGATCACCGACTGGCAAGCAGAATGTGCAACCAGGTACCAGGCGCATAAGGCTACAATTATAATGTGCTACAATTATAATTGAAGACCTAGACATGCTATGGATGTAAAAAAATAAGATGTCCAGGTGTTATAGAAATGTATGTTCTGTATATACTTTAAAATGCATAGCTCCATTTTAATGAGTTCTTTTTCTGTTTTTATACAGAAAAGTCCACACCCACTTCCCTGGAGAAAAGTGAAATAAGAAGAATCCAGGAGTCCCCTGCTTTCTCTTCCCAGCTTAATAATATCAGTCATTTCAAATCCAAGCAAAGACCAGCCCATCAGCCAAAAGCTGCAAAACCAGGTGAGGACTGGATCTGTTCGCAGTCACGTTCTTGGCACAAGATCACAAGGGTCGCTCAATAAGCGGGGGCGAGGCCTCACAATTGAAGATGTTACTTTTTGGCCAGAAACGGAAATGATACTGAAGGACTGGATCTTAATGGGATCCGTTGACTTCGGTGATTTGATTTTTTTTCTCCTTCGGTCCCTGACTGGCTATAGCGAACCGGAGCCCGCCAGGGAGAAGCGTGTGCCCGAGTTCCACGGCGCAGCCCCCCCAGAGCAGCGGTAACCCCAGCCCCGCCTTGCGACCCCCCCCTCCAGGGGGCACTGTTCCCAGCAGCTCCACACCTGCCCCTCAGGACTGTGCTGTGGAAAAGTTCTCTGGACTCAGGCTGAGGTGACCAGGATTCATTTCACTCCCTCTTCTTACTCAACTGTCAAGTCACTCTTCTTCTCTCTTTGCTCTGTTTTAATTTTTTTTTTTTTGAGTGCTAAGTAAAGGTTCATTCGAAAGCTTGGCTCACAGTTGCATGGTTAGTCATGATTTGATACCGGTGTGGTTTTGGTCTTGCAGAAGCCTTTGCAACATCATTTTGTTACTTTTCCTATGTATATTGTTGCACATTCGCGGGTATTGTTCAAAAATAAGAAATATCAAATCTGTCTCAAAATCAGGCCCTAGCACCAGGTTGTGACGCATGCAAGCAAAATATAAAATGAGCAGTTGTTAGTCATGGAACTCAGTTTTCCTTAGCTCATGAGTCCATGGTTTTCCTGGTAATGAAGCTGCACTGGGCAGTAATCAAGATAGCCGACCTCGCTCGGAATGATCCAGTCAGTGTTAAATATTGATGTTCTAAGATGTCTGCTTTTCTGCTTAAATCAAGTTAACGATTAGCGGCATTTTTTGTTTTCTCCCCTGGCTCTCTCTTCGCTGTCACTGCCTCAGTTGAGATGATCAGATAACAGGAGATATGCCATCCTATTAGAATGGTGTGTTTTTCTTAGAAACTCCAAACCTGTAGCTGTCCCTCATACTACAGCAATATGTGATCACAGAAAGGAAAGGCACAGTGGTGTAGTAGAATGAGCTGCCACCTCACTGCTCGACTTACACGTTTTTATCTTGTTTCCGTGGGTATGTGCTGGTTCCTCCTATTTCCTCCTGCCTTCCAAAGTCAAGTTAATGGTTAAGTTAATGAGAGTCTCTAAATTCTCCTTTGGTTTGTGTTTGTCCTCTGATGGACTGGTATCGTGTCCAGAGACCTACCTGCCTTGCGCTCTGTTTTTCTGTGAGAATCTCTGGGTGGCTGGGGTCCCTACCAGGCATGAGTTAGCTTCTTGATAATGGATATGTAATAGTCCACATTTCAATGACTGAAAACTAATAAGAGCTGTTGGCGGGACGTGTTCTCTGTAGGAAGCCACGGGTGTCCTCTACAGAAATGGAGTGCAAGATGGCAGAGCGCAGACTGATCCGTCTGTCCCAGCTGCCCGAGAGAGTGGCACGGGAGAACCTGGAGGACAGCGACTGGGTCACTTTCGGGGTGATCATCAGCAAGGTCACCCCACAGAGCTCCAACAGTGTGAGTGACGGTAACAAACTCCAGGACAAAGGTGTGCAATTTCAGGAAAAGCTGACCGTCCAGGAATTAGATACTGTAGGGCTTTAAGAGAACTAACATGGAGCATTAATGTGTCTGCTTCAAGCACACGATAGACGCATCCCAAGAGTAAGTGAATCAAAGACGAAAAAGTTAGTGTCCCAGATGGTTTGGTAAATCCATTAAGAAAAAGTATGGGGGAGGAAACCAATTCATATGATAAAATATTTGAAACGGAAAGGCATCCGCTTGCATACTGTAAATGGCGTGCAATAAATTGCAAAAACAGATAAAAGATATCAGAAAAGTAGTAAGAGAAAAAATATTATAATGGAGGTTAAATAAGTTTTTTTTCAATGTCACAAATGCAAAGAAACATAAAAGGGTAAACTTTTTTCTGAGATAACTAGCACTAGATATTTAGGGGAAAATGTATTATTTCAAATTAGAATTTCATCCCGAGGATGGTATTTAACATAGAAGAAACATACCTCTTCATAAGCTAAAAACAAACTTCTGTTTTAAATAGTATTAGAAGAGCTAGACGTGCTATAGGTATTACAAGCACTATGGGTCTCCAGGTCCTCGTGATTTTCTTCCACCATACGTGAAGAAAAGAGATTGGCAAAATTGCTAATGTGGCACTTATTCATTTAAAGGGGGGCAAGAGAACTGAAATAAGTATTAATAGACCAATAAATCTACTTACTTTGATTACATGTGAGCTTATGGAGACCTTAAACCTTAGAATTGCTGAGGTCTACGTGTAGTGTTATATATTCAATATAAGCCTGGTCAGTTTCATGCATTACATTAAAATGTATCTTTATGTTTCTTTAGGGTAAAACGTTCAGTATATGGCGTCTTAATGATCTCCGCAATCTGGATATATTCGTGTCTCTGTTCCTCTTCGGAGAAGTTCACAAGCAGCACTGGAAGACTGACCCTGGTACTGTCATTGGGATTCTCAACCCCAACCTCATGAAGCCCAAGGAGGGCTCGGATGGTGTGAGTGTCTTCTCAGACTTCCACGTTCAGACAAGCCTCAATTTAAAAAACATGAGCTTTCGAGTCTTTAATGACTTTTGTTTTTCTGCAGGCATCGCTCTCTTAAAAAAAATCTCTTCTTTCGAAAATGTTTAAATATGAACAATATTTGATGATGATTATTATGAAATATGTTTTTCAAAGACAGCCTGAGGTGCTGTTTTTGTATTGTCAGTTATTCACAGAAATAAGTGTCTCTGAGTTTATTTATGCTCTGAATTCTAGGTATGTCTGTCTGTGGACAACCCACAGAAAATTTTGCTCATGGGTGAAGCTCTGGACTTTGGGACTTGTAAATCGAAGAAGAAAAATGGAGATCCCTGCAGCCAGATTGTGAACTTGGTGAGTAGTATTTTCTGTACCTTATCAATAATATGACAGAGTCCTACCTTGTACTAAGACAAAATTCTAAAGTGGTGGACAAACCATGTCTTTGTAGGGAACCATTTAATAACGTTTATTTTTTTGTTTTCTCCCTAAAATGTGTTTATTACTAAAAAAGTTGTCTTCTGTGGAGGTATTCATGGCGGAACGTTCAACTGAAACTAAGTTTATAAGGATCTGTCTTGCCTTCTTGCTCATTTGGTTTACATTTGCTTGTTAATCAGGGATCTCATACAGCCATTTCTTGAAGGATCCTAAGGTGTCTACTTTGACTAATGACCTTGTTCCAAACACCCACCTGTTTTTCAGAATGCGTATCTACTTTACCTCTGCCATGCATCCTTGTTTCAATCGTGTCCACAGGTGTACAGAGATTCCATTGCTTTAATCTGTCTTTGGGTAGCGTTTCTGGAGCGGTGGCTCTGTGGCTAAGGATCTGCGCCTGTGAGTGGAAGGTTGCCGGTTCAAATCCCGCGGCCGGCAGAGGAATCCAACTCCGTTAGGCCCCTGAGCAAGGCCCTTAACCCTAACTTAGACCCTGCGCTCTGACCCCAAGCTTCTCCCTGTCTGTGTGTCTTTGTCTCCATGGAGAAAAGCTGGGGTATGCGAAAAGACGAATTCCTAATGCAAGAAATTGTACAGGGCTAATAAAGAAACATTAACATTAACAATCCTTGAAGCTCAGGGAGTTGCAATTCTTTTAACTGGTTTAAACTGCAAAACATTTGTATGCGTGTGGATCATCACGTTTTGGCATGCGTGATTCATCAAGAAAGAGCAATAAAGCAAAACTAAAAAACACTCAGCCATTTTTCCATTCCGTGTTACTTACTGTCTCCTCCAAACAGCTGTAATACATCTGTTACTTTCACATACAGTATGTAAGCACAGAAGAACTCTTTGGGCTTGTTAAATGGAATGAAACCTTGTCTGTCGAGTAGGTACGGTATATTGATATTCAAAGCTTTAACGCTTAGTTATCCAATTAGAAAACCGTGATGCTGTACTCCTGATACTCCAGATGCTGTAACCTGAACCATTACACCTCAAAGCCAGGAATTACACTAATTCTATTTTAGCACAGGTCCCGGAACTGCTAGTGTTGATGGTTTCCTGCTGCAGAGTATTGCTTGATGTGCTGAGGCTCTAATGCTCTTGCCTGTTGTTGCAGAGTGAGTGCCAGTTTTGTCAGTACCATGTGAAAGCGCAGTATAAGAAGATGAGCTCCAAGAGGGCAGAGCTGCAGTCCAGCTACTCTGGGAAAGCCCCTAACCAAGTGAGGAGGAAGGGGGGCAGCCTGAAAGAGAGACTTTGTCAGGAAGGTTTCCACTATGGAGGAGTGTCTTCAGCAGCCTGTGCAACATCTCTGTAAGGAATCCAGCAGCAGGCTTCCTGTCTGTCATGTGTTTGAAGTTACCGTCTTGTACGCTTTGTCTTAGAAGAAATGGTAGAAGTGAGTTTTCTTCAGATCCATGATCCTGCAAAAACCTAGGCCAAAGGTTAAATTTTTATTGTTAAGAGCTAGTGGGGAAAAAAATCTGAACTTGAATGTGCGTCATCTTTTTTGTTTGTGTCTTCTTCAGTTCCGCCTCTGTTCCAAAGAAACCAAGTCAGACAACATTAAGTAACCTGTTTGTAAAAGGATCGGACCAAATTATGAGAGACGCCAAGAAAATAGGTAAGAAAACACAGCAGATATTTAATTTTTCTTTACAAGAATACTTGAGAAATTTCAGTCAGTCACTGGAATATAACAATATTGAATTTCGATATGACATTTTGGCCAGCAGATAATCCATTAATTTTCTTTCCAGAGTGTATAATGTTTTCCCATGAAAACACAAATAAATGTTCCGTTTACAGCAGTAGAATGTGGTCTAGCTAGCTGATAACTGATAATACAATGTTTCACTGGTTTGAAAATGCCATAGTAAAAAAAAACAAGGGCAATGTTCGAATATTGGCTCCTTTATCAATTATGTGGGTCTTTTCCAAATGATACACAAATTGTCTGTATTAAGTGCCTGCAGGACTTATTTAATATTTCTAGTGATACCATCTCATGTTTACACTGAGCCCAAGATGATTTAATTTTCAGATATGGGAAATTACCTAGGGCAATTAACATTATTATTAAATGTAGCTGATGACAGTTTGACTAATTTATTGTTTTTTTCTTTTTCTTTAAAAATATTGTCCTCAAGAAATTGATTATTTAGTTTACCTAGGAATTAAGTGAAGAAATTCCATACTTTCGAGTAAGTGGGGGAAAAAATAGGCTTAAACAGGCAACTAAGTGACTAATCGCCAGAAGGTTGCTTGCTGCAGCACTGGCTTTATATAATCCATAGGCTTCCCTATTGTGTCTTACATCTCTAGTTGGGTACAGTGTTGAGTCTGTAAAGGTCTTAACACCATTAGCCTGATTTATAATGAAGTCTGTGAAAGGAAGTTTTCTTGACAATCGCATAAATGAATGTATGTCTCATTTCCAGCAATGCTGTCCAACGGTGTCACAGGATGCTCTGAAGATTTTAAGAACCTATTGGCCATGCCAACTCCAGGGGCCCTGAATTTGAAAAGGCACTTAAACCATGTAAAACCTACAGGTACTGCACCCTTTTTGATATCTTATTTGTACTTTTTTATCTATATCTTGAGCTTTGTCCTATTATAATTTTCCAGCCAGTTGCCCAATGTAGTTTTCCCTGGAGTTAAAGCTAGAATAGCTTTATATCTCATTTTAAAAATAATGCACACATTTAATTTTAAATAATCATGCCTAGCACTGGATTACTGCTAATGTGAGAACTGTGATCTTGTTTTAAACACAACTAAATAGTAGGCCAGATGTCTCGGAGACTAAGGAAAAAGGCTTTTTACCAGGAGGTTCCTGATATAAAGGCTCTATCCTACTGCTGATTCCTTACACGTTGCAGGTTACTTCACCTTGTTCTGCAGTGCTCATATGATGGGAACTCAAGGACATCTTGCAACTGATTTAGTAGTGCTGTTGTTCATCATCCAGCCTTTGTAATTCATTTTAAGTAAAGTGACTGCAGAATAACTAATAACACAGAACATGTACCACTGATGTACAGTAAAACATCATACAGTTAACGCCACTGACTAACGTCTGTGAAACGCGTATTCTCCAAGTTAAATAAGATCTCTTCCACTCTCTTGATCATGACATAATCCCTCTCACCCATTGTCAGCTGATTTTCATATGTTCATAAGCAGCATGCAGTAGTGTGTTTAGTTTTGAAATGTAACTTTTAAATCATCCTTTTTTTTTCCAGCCGGTTCTAATGGTCAGCCGGGGGCAGCCATTCAGTCAGTATCTGCCTCCCAGCTCCTGAAACAGCAAAAACAGCAAATGCTGGAATCGAGAAGGAAGAGAGCCGAAGAGATTCAGAGAAGGTGGGTGTGTATTTGTATAATGGCCTTACAGTACTGTAGTTTTTCAGGGCTGTACATTGGAAATACTTTAAAAACAATATCATTGGACTTTAATGAAATTCCGAATCATAGCTTAATTTTATTGACATTGCTTGTATTTGTTAGGAAAATGGTAATCATTTACACTTTTGCTATAGAAATAGATGAGTCATATATCTTACGTTTGATAGGACACCGAACTATGACACAGCCAGACATTGCATAGATAGTAATGCAGGTGCAGTACGAATAGAGTTCACCATCTTAAAGACAGTTGTTGCTGTTGAGTGTTCGACATTCGGGCTGCTGTCTACATTTCTTCTCTTTCTCGCTTCACCAGGTTTATGCAGAACTGTGGGAAACCTGGCGTCCCCGCGACCCCCACCCCAGGGAGACCAGTTCTGTCCCCGAGGGCGGGCGCCGAGTTCCCCACACAAGACAAGACCGTAGCCACGCTACAGACGCCCAAACTGGGCTGCGGCTTGGACGAAGGACAGGACGTCTTGTTTTTCGACGGCTCTCCTCCACCTGCACCCACCCCAAGCTTATCAGCTGCCAGGGTACTTTCACCAGATGTTAAATTTAATTTGACGTGTGCCTTGCCATGTATAACATGTGTAGTTACTTCTCTGACCCCCCCATATCACCTTTTAGCACATCACAGCCTAGATACTGTAGCTCCAAACTGGAGGTTCAGCGCCAGTTGGAGGAGTGGCACAGGGCTCAGAGGTTGTTGCAATTGAGAGAGAGAGACAGAGCTCTGAGAGGCTAATCCCACCCTGCTGGCTCAGCCAATTGTGTCCTGCATCTTGGGAAATCCTTAGCACAGTCAGCTCGTGACATGCTCCCACGGCTTGAGCCTGCGACACCTGGATCTTAGAGATCAACCTCCGCTCGGGCGAGGGCCTTTACTAGTTGAGCCACTTGCGAGTCCCATAACAACTTTTCATTGTAAGGCTTCTTTCCTTGTAATTTCTCCATTTTTCAGGCAGCTGCTTTAAAGAAGTTGCGGGCAAAAGGAGCAGTGATCCCAAAAGCAGATCCTAATGCTGTTAAGCGGAAGAGATTGAACACCAGCAGCAGTGAAGTAACTGCGAGAGTGGAGAGGAACCTGGCGTCGCCTGACAGTAAGTACTGTTTATCACAGTGCTCTGGAGTTTCTATCTTGAAAGCAAACTTCACTAACGAACTAATTGGTACTTTATCTCTATATATAGTGTGTATATGAAACCGCATGATAGATTTGAGTAGAATGGAAAGGATTGTTAATTACATAGAAAACAAAGTGTACACGACACAGAATTTAATTGGTATGAGACGCCAACAAGGGACAAAATCAGCCATGTTCGAGTTGTGTGTTCTGTGCTCATGCTTTTATGGAGTTTAAATTTAATACAGCTGTCACAAAATGTGGTATTGTCCAGTGTCATATTAAGGGATGCATCTCTTTTTTTTTTTTTTTACCATTCACCTATCAGACGAGCAGCCTGAGGCAGGAGAGGACCAGCCTGCTGCGAAGAAGCGCCGGGAAACCCTGGAGTATCTGAAGTCTGAAGAGTTTCAGGAAATACTCAAAGCCACGTCGAGACACACGGGGGCGCTGAAAGCGGTAGAAATCAGTCTTTTTCTGTTACCCGTGTCATCGCGTGTGCTTGTGCACTTCTCTCTATATCTAGATGAGACAAAACATATACTGCTGGATGAAGACTGAGCAGACTCGCTTATTGAAGGTTATCTCCATTTTGGGGGGGGCGGCAGCGGCGGCGATTGGGCCCTCCTTTCTAGTCCTTCACGCTTATAGCAGTGCAGGAATTTGATTACTTTGTTAGATGGTAGCCTGCTAAGAGCTCAAGAACTATCAAGAGTTGCAAAACATACAGTCCAAGCTCTAGAAGATGCACAAAGGTGTCCTAAACTCCTGTGTAAAACAAATCCCTGTGGCCTCAGATGGAGAAAGAAATCATTCAGGAGCTTCTGAGGTTTTTAACAATTATTATGATGCTGAAGGTTGTTAGTAGAAGTCATGAGGACGCATGTATAAGCACTCCTAATTCCTCCAGATCCGAACCTTCAACAAAAAACAGTAGCTAGACTGAATAAAGGATTGTATAGGACAATACTCAGTAGGTGCAATAAATTATGAGGCTCCATATGGTTCTTTTTTTATTTGGACCTCTGTAACGTGCTGTTTTCTTTATTAGGATCCCTAAGAAAAAACAAGGTAATAAAGTAGGTTGTTTTCATTAACTTGTAAGTAATTGCCTAAGATCTATGCAATTATTCATCCATGTTTTTAAAAATTACAGTACATATATTTGGGATATTAAATATTTTTTTTACATCATTTGATTAAGTGATCATTCATGATTCACCGTGATACACTTGAGGCTTTGCTGCATAGGTGCCAACTCACCTCATTAATTAACATTTTGGCTGGGAACAGGTGACGAAGGGGAGTTTATTCTGTAAAGTGTCAAGCGTGATCAAAATCCAGGTAGAGAAACAGAAAAAGTAACCAATATTATCAATGCCTTGATGCAGTATTTTGGAGATGTGGGATTTAGGTCAGTGCATTGTTTCTTTGTAGTGTCCTCAGAGTCAGCATTTTCTGACTCGGCTAGTCGTCAATTACTGTCATTTACTGGCTGCAGTCTTAGTCACTACAAGTCACAACACAGTCTGAGTAGGAGTGTGTTGTGGAGGAGTGGTTGTTACACAGCTCTACTTGTAGTGTTGTAGTGAATGACATCTGCCTGACTGCACAGTGCTGCACTGATGAAGTCCTGGGAGCTTGCCTACCTCCCTGCAGGCTCATCCTGTTTATTCAACAGTTTATTCAACTTTATTGTCATTAAACTTACACAGGTGCATAGTACAACGAAAAGTGTTTCTCATTAGTCACTCAGGTGCAGTACATAAATAGGACAGAAGATAAGACAATAGACAGTTACACAATAGCAATAACAGTAACATGTAATAACATAACATAAATAACATGTTACTGTTATTGCTATTGTGT